CCCCCCATAATTTCAAACTCACGATTTGGGGGGGGGGGGGGTATTTTTTCTAAAACCCATATGAAAACCAAATTATATACCCCCTGAGAGAGAGAGAGAGGCTGACGTGCGCAGGAGACGCGCGGCTCCGCCTGGCCGTGGCACGGCAGCGTAAAAACTCGGACGCTCGGCCTCGGTCGCGGGGTCGCAGCCGGCCTCCTCGGCCGCGGCTGAGGCTGGGGGATCCGAGTCCGAGGGTCTCACAAAGCTGGGTGGTAGTAGAGGGGATGGATGGCAGAAGTTAAATGGTCAGGGAACAACGGAGGAGAGGAGGGAGGAACAGGGGGGACGTACTTGGGACTATAAGTTATCCTTTCGGGATCGGGTGGCAATCACCCCAATGGAGGAGAGGAGGGAGGAACCGGGGAGGACGTACCCAGGGATTGTAAGTTATCCCTTAGGGATTGGGTGGCAATCACCCCAAAGTTTCCATTGAGGCCCACAACGGAATTCCTGGATCCCTTCCCCCCTAACGCTTTTGCCCTTGTGGACGTAGAGCCAGAAACTTTCCCAGCAGAGAATCAGTAGGTGGATGGTCCCAACCCCAGTGGTCCTACTCCCCATGCTCGGACTTAGGATAGACAGGCCACTGCTGCCCGTTTTGCAGCTCTTGGATGATTTTTTTTGTCACGTTAAGGACGCTGGACCCGGTTTCCAGCAGCCCATGTACTTTGAGACGCTGGACCCACTTTCCATCAGGTGTTGCTCCCCACCAATAGATGAAGAACGGGCTGGTCAAAAAAAAAAAAGAAAAAAAAGAAGGTCTCAGCATCCAGTACGTCCATTTTACCGTTAGAGTGTGTCGTGAGCAGACATACTTGTTTTTTTCCCTTAGCATTGAGGTCCTGGCCCAATTGATTGGGTCAAGCGAAACCTTGTCTATTGAGGTAACAGGTTTGAAGGTGTAGCATTGCTTGTCAATTTTTAGCACTAGGATCCTAAAGAGTTGATCCTGTTGCGTCCATCTCGTTTCTTGTTGGCTATGTATCACCCGCCGCTGCGGGGTTGAGCTAGGCCTGCAGCCACGGCTGCGAGGTTTGGGGATTTTTCCGAGGTAAAAAAATGGAAAAAGAAAAAAAATGGGGTTGTGGGTTCGCCGTTTTTTTTTTTTTTTTTTTTTTTTTTTT